GCCACAGAGGGGCTGGGGGATGAGCTGGGCAGGCAGCAGGGATGCTGGGGAGGCAGAGTGGGACCAGCAGCACCATCCCACTCACAGCCGGGGGAGTCATGGCCCCACCAGGGCTGTGCCAGCAACATGGGCTTGGCCAGAGGCACTGGGGGCAATACCCACTGCACTGTGCCCAAATGTGAATCCAGTCCAAGAACTGGTGTTTCACATTACATTAAATCAAAGTAAATATTCTTTCTCTCTTTTTCATATCACAGCAGGTTAAATTTACATTATTACACCTCATTTGAGCTCCTGGTATCTTCCAGTTTTTCAGTGCAAGAAATTAACTGAAGCAATGTGGGGCAATAGCAGAATTCCCATCCTGCCCACCCATACTGTTTATCAAGCTCCTTCCCTCTCTGCTCTCCACAACCTCACCCTGTCTCTGCTGCTGAAAAATGCCGAGGATGACAGATTTTCCTTGTTTGCTCTTTGACTTTCTAGGACACTAAAGCACAGCCTGATCTGGAGCAAACTACTCATCCTCTGCTCTCCTTGCTTTGAACCCTGAGCTCTGCCTGATTGCACTCAGCTGCACAGTGGCCTCAAAGGCATAAAACAGATACGACTTTGAAAAGATTAAAGTTACAGGGATGCGCACAAATAATTTGATTTGATCTGGGATTTGTAGTGGGTTGCCATAGCATCATATTCTAAGTATTATAAAATCACCCAACTTAACAACATGTTCCTCTGTCACATGCTGGCTGCTTCTTTGGGGCCAAACTGCTGGAACTGCTCCTGCAGTTCCGGGAGAGCAAAACAAGCCCATCCCCAACGACTGCTTGGAACGGGCCTCTGCGCTGAGAATCTGTTATGGTAAAGTCCAACCACAGACGCCGATGATTCAGCCCGCCATCAGCGCTGGGGTCAAGGGCCGGCGCCCGTTTCCCAAACTGATTGCCCTCGGGGGATGGTAAATGAACCGGGGGAAGATTAGCACGCCTTTGTCAGTGCACTGGGGCTCACAGCAGCCCCGCTCAGTGACCCGGTCCCCAGCTGGCACTGAGGGCGCCTCTCTGCACAGCCTGAAGCACAGCAGAGGTGGCAGGTGCCCACCCCAGCGAGGATGGGCACTGGGGACGCCGGGCAGCTCCCCTTGCCTCTCCCTGGCACCACAGGAGATGCACAGCCAAAGGGCACAGCGCTGTGTGCTCTCCCTAAGGGGGCACCTGGCAGCTGCCAGGGGGCTCTGCCCGCCCCTGATGCCCCCGTGTCCACCCTGGCCAGGCCCACGGCCGGGCACCAGCGCACAGGATGGGCCAGAGCATCCTCCAGAGCCGGCGGCCGGACACCAGCCTCTCCAGAAGGAAACGTGGGCATCACTTCTGTAATTATTTCTTTGTTTTTCTCATTAGGCAAATTAAGGGAGAAGGAAAAAGAGAGAATTAGAATCCTGCATTCTTAGTAAATCTAATTAAGGAAATACCTTAATGCGGTTATGCAGGGCCGACTGCAGGGTTTCTGAACAGAGTCTGAGATCACCCCAGCCATGCCAGCCCCCAGGACTGTGCTGGGGACCTGTTGTCAGCTCTAGGGAGGCAAAGCCCACCTGCCAAGGGCTGCTCTCCTGGCTTCTTCCAGAGGGAGAAAATGGGGATTTCCCCCCCTTTTTGGGGGGAAACCACGGACACTGGTGAGTTCCCAGCACAGCAAGAGCAGGTGAGGTC